AACCCAACCCAGAAAATAGGAGCTGGTAATATAATGCTGGTAGTATTCTCCGTACGAATTTCAAGAAAATAGCGGTCTTGAGGACGTATCTATTTGGCAAATTGATCCTTGGCGACATAAAAATCGGAAAAAATATATTTTTTCTTATTCTCCGGCCATTTTTATTTTCCGGTGAAAACACTGCTGGTTGATTAATGTAAATCAACCTTAATAATTCATGGTCGATTTTTCATAATTTTTAATACCAAAATATTTTATTAAGATTATTGATCTGTTCTACTACTTTTTACGATAACGAATTGTCATTTATGATATCAAGTAGATTCTTGCAGTACGGGAACAGGCCATATATGTATTTGTATTACAACGTTACCTAAAATCCGACGGAGCGTAAAAAAATATTCAACTTCCCCACTATGGCAAAATGTTGTGTACGGCCATATTACCCAAATACGTCGAATCCATATCTTCAAGCAAATAATACAAACCGCAAAACAAAAATTAACACTTACTAAATTAATCCACACATTTTTAGTTTCCATTCGAAATTTCAAATTTCCAGAATGTTTTGTTTTTGTTTTCAACAAAAGAAAAAAATCATGGTACAATAATACAAGGTAGGGCAGCTTGAGGTGAATAACAAAAAAGCAACTAAGCTCGTGTGGCCTCTTCTGCCAACACAAAACTAAAAACGCGAAAAATTAATGAAAGATTATGATTTCTTCCCAAAATCCAGTATGGAATACCATAAAGTGTTTGTTTCATCCATAACAAAGTAGTTACTTCCTGACGAACGTGTTGAAAACTTTATTTTCATTTCAATTAAACTTGAATATATTTCAATTTATTTTGAATTTATTTGACATTGTGTGTATTACACATACACAAAATATGTATTTTGATTTGATTGAATAAGCCACCTTGAGAAAACATTGTAATCAGTTGTTAGCTGTGCCCTACCTTGTTATAAATCTACCATGAAAAAAATTAAAAATACGTTCTGTCAAAGTTGAAATTGTTCAACTTGAAATTTTGTACGTTCGACGTATTTCAGTAACATTCATATAAATACATGTGTTCTACTTTTGAGGTGAAAAACGTCGAACGAGCTAGTTGAATTTTAGGTAAGGCTGTTAAGTATTCTAGTCCAGGTGTATTTAATAAGGTGCAAGTTACAATTATATGGTTTCAAAATTTTTCTTTATTGTCTGTAATGCAAATTATCAAAAACATTTTCAATATTACATTTCGATTTCAAAAATGGTCTTTGAATTTATGCTTGTAATTCACAATATAAACAACATTACAAGGAGCAATAGACTACAAATAACAAGGAGCCATAAACTTTATTTTTCACCGACCTAAAATCAATAACCCAAGAATACACAAATTCATTAATTATTCCTCAAAGAATAGTTATTGACAAAAATAAATTAATAATTGTTTTTGTTTATTTTTGTCAGCATGACAATTTAATATCTATAACAATAATGTTGTTTTTGTAAAATATTTGTTGTTGTATCTGATGCAAACACCTTATTAAATACACCTTGATTCTAGTAAATAATTGATTTTCATGTGATTGGATACTTAATACACACGAAGATTACCCATATAGAAACCACATTACTAGACACAAAAACATACCAATAGAGCTCTATTAGGGATCTATTAGGAAACCGCTTCGCTTCATTTTAGTAGAATTCTGTTTTTTTTTTTTTAATTTCTTCAACTAAATCTTATCTTTTATTATTGTGCCATATCATGGTATACCAACATTAAAATAAATCTATTGAATAAAAAGATATATAAATAAAAAACTTATTAATAAAGTTAATAACGCATGGAAAAGCGCTAGACGCCATGCTCTTGTGTTAGTTATATGTTTTACATCCGTTTACTTGTCGAATGCAACCCTGATCACAGAATTGTTTGGCACAACAATTCCGTTTTAGTGATGGGAGACCATTTCGATAACAAACGATAAAACTTGGTAGCATTTTTTACGATGACGTTAGGCGGCCATATTGCTCTTTCTTTCTTTTTCTGACCACGTTCCCTGCGAGTTCGTATGAAATAAATATGAGCCTCACAATTTCCAAAAAACGCAAGGTAATTTTACAAAATTTTACCACAAATTTACAATAAATCACTGGAGAATTGTACAGCCCATGGATGTGTGTGAAAATTGAATGTGAAAAGTATGAAAATTCCATGATAAACAGTGAAACCATGAACTAACCTCAAACCCATGGCATGTCAATATAGTTTTTCTCGATGTCTGTATTCAGTATTCAGAGCAGCATTACTAATTAGTTTAAACAATGTGGATGACTGTTGATGGGTTGACGAGTCGAAAGTTATTTGTGTAAAGTTTGTTTTCATAGATTAAAGATTCGATGCCATGTGAAGATGCCGTGCTGTATTAACGAGTGATTTGTATTGTTTCTATTTTGTAGTTTGTTGCCGATGGCATGTTCAAGGCTGAATTGAACGAGTTCTTGACTCGTGAACTCGCCGAGGATGGTTACTCCGGTGTTGAGGTACGTGTGACCCCCGCCCGTACCGAAATCATCATCATGGCCACCAAGACCCAACAAGTTTTGGGTGAAAAGGGTCGTCGCATCCGTGAATTGACCGCTATGGTCCAAAAACGTTTCAACTTCGAACCTGGCCGTATTGAATTGTACGCTGAAAAGGTCGCCACCCGTGGTTTGTGCGCCATCGCCCAGGCTGAATCTCTCCGTTACAAGTTGACCGGTGGTTTGGCTGTCCGTCGTGCCTGCTATGGTGTCTTGCGTTTCATCATGGAATCCGGTGCCAAGGGCTGTGAAGTCGTCGTTTCCGGTAAATTGCGCGGTCAACGTGCCAAGTCCATGAAATTCGTTGATGGTCTTATGATCCACTCTGGTGATCCATGCAACGATTACGTTGAAACCGCCACCCGTCACGTCTTGTTGCGTCAAGGTGTCTTGGGTATCAAGGTCAAGATTATGTTGCCTTATGATCCTAAGAACAAGATCGGTCCCAAGAAGCCATTGCCCGACAACGTTTCTGTTGTTGAACCTAAAGAAGAGAAGATCTATGAAACACCCGAAACAGAATACAAAATGCCTGTTGCTGCTCGCGTGCCCATCGGTGATGAAGCTCCTGCTTATTAAGAAAAACATCCATACAAGCTATTAGTTGTATGTAAAATGTGTAAGGGTCAGTGATGTTTTTGAATATTTCAAAAATAAACTTGCAGATATGAAACGTTTTTATTTAACAAGATAAACTTACAAAAAACAACAATTATTTTGTGTGGGAGGGGCGGGGACAAAGGAGCATTATATTGCAAATATATACAAAATATTTTTCGTCAAGTAGCAATTGAATTTTGCAAAAAATGTTTGTAGATAACAAATTAATTTGTTTTAGTATACATTGCATAAAACTTGTTTAGAAGAAATGATCAATAACACCACAAATGCTTAAAACCTAAACTATTAGCATCTACTTTGATACGAAAGAAACAAGTGACATTGTAGGCAGGTTATCCAGCTTTTAGAAATATTTCAAAACATAAACATCCATTCTGGAATATACAAATTTAATTTTTTGCGAGTTGGGTTAATGATCTATGTTGCAGTGAAAACCATATTAGTAAGCAACACTTTATATAGGTTGATAATTTGCATTGATAATTTAATGTCTGAACAGATTTTTGTTGTAGTAACTGATAATTCTACAGACTTTTATATCAAGGGTGTGGTTATTTATTTCATTCCCGGTTCCAAGCAATAAACAAATAATAACTTTGATTGTATACCCTCCATCACACTGTGGTACAGGGTATTATGCCTTTGTGCATATGTTTGTAACATGCAAAAGGAAATGAAATAGAACCATGAATCCTTCTGAGAAAATGCATAGAATCACATTCTGAGTTTTATGCCTGTCTATCAATGTAAAATTGTAAACAAAGTACAGGCCGCATTTATTATCCGAATGAGATGAAATTTTGTACAGTTCATTTATTTGACCCAAGGATGAACCCAGATTTTGTTATATCTCCCATTTTTATGTAAATGGCGCACCAAACTCCCAAGGTTTGCCCAATTGAGACGAAATTTTGCATATATAGTTTCGCCCGATGTAATCTAAATGATGCACCAAATACCCAACGTTTGTCCGATTGCTATGTAATGATGAATGGCGTAGCTAAATGAATTTGTGTATTAAGTTTTCCATAATTCCATTTAGATATAGCTTCCAAAGGTATATAATTTCTTGCGATTTCATGAAATTGTGCGTTAAATACCAAAGTTTGTTCGAATCAGATTCAATATTGGACATCACGTTTTGCTGTGGTACCCCGAATGACGTAGTTATGTTTCAAATCGGTTTAAATTTGCATGTAACTTGATTTCATACAAATTATACACGAAAGACTCCGATTTACATGGAATTTTCCAATCAGAGTGACATGTGTGCAGATTTTAATACCATTCATCACACTGCGGTACAGGGTATTATGTCTCTGTGCATATGTTTGTGACAGGCAAAAGGAATCGAGATATACCCATGATTCCTTTTGAGAATAAGCATGCATCACTTTCTCAGTTGATTTATGCTGTGCATATGTTTGTGACAGGCAAAAGGAATCGAGATAGACCCATGATTCCTTTTGAGAATAAGCATAGAATCACTTTCTCAGTCGATTTATGCATGCCCGTCTGTCCGTCCATCCATGTATTTTTGTGAACAAAGTACAGATCGCATTTATGATCCGATTTTGATGAACTTTGGCATATGTCACTTATTTGGCCCAAGGACGAACCTTATTGAATATATAGTTTCGTCCGATTTTTTGTAAATGGAGTAGGTACTATAAGTTCATGCATATTGAAAATCTTATTGGCCTTTAACCTTTTTTTACAAAATAAAATATAAATAAAATGGTGCACCAAACGCTCAATATTAGTCCGATTGAGACAATCCGATCAATATTTCATAAATCTCGTAAATAGATCGAACACCAGTGCCATTATTGATCCGCCTCCATTCTTCACAATACTTTTGCAATACTGAGGCCTGAGTCTTTGATTTTTAGGTCTTCTGATCGCAAAATTGTTCGTGTCTGAGCATTAAATAACTAACTTTTCTTTACTGAGTCGGATTCCAAGTGGTAAGAGCGGTTGCGAAAGTCAATCTGGCTTTCTGATTTTATTTTTAGAAAATAAATGGCTTTCTTGATGGTTTGCGGGTATGTAAACCTGTTACCACAGCTCGTCTACGCTCTGCTCCTGAGGTTATATCAAACGATAACCCTCTCACGAATTCCGTTGACTCCGAAATGACCGTTTTTAATTCCTCTTTGGTTTTGGAATTAAATTTTATTCTTTTTTATATGTGAACATGAACATCTTAACTTAAAATTAATGCAATAAAATAAGCAATATTTATGTGAAATCAATATAAAAAATTGTGATTGTTAAACAAAAGAAAGTTATCTCCAAGTGAAATGTATCCAATATAAAAGTTTTTTTTAGCAAGCGAATTTTTTGGGATGGTTGATACTTAGTATGATATCACTTGTTATTTTTACAGCTTTCAACCTTGTATGCATAGATTTTACCAATTTTCCCCATTCTACCTGTAAAGCATTTTTCAGACTTGATATGCTTGAGATGTTATGGCTTCTATTATTTTTCTCCAAAATACTCAATTATTTCTTTATAAGATTAAAATTCGGGGATTGAGCAGGTGTTTGAATCACTTTTGAACAATCTATATATATAAAATAGAAAACATTTGTATGTATGTTACCGATAGACGCCAAAACCGCTGAACAGATCTTAATGAGATCTTAATGAGATTTACACTTTTAAAATTCCGCGTGGATGCGGAGTTATAGATAGCATCAATAGTAAACATTCCTCAAATTTTCTGAACATGTAATATGCGTTTATCTTAAGAACGGTTACATATAACGCCTTCAAAATTTATCTGTATATCGTTGGTGTGAATACACATTATTCATAAAAATATGAGCGAGATAAGATCGGTGGAAATGCACTCTCCGTTACACTTGAATAATCTACATGTAGGAAATAAAAAATGTTTTGTTTCTAGACTCAAAAACCATTGAACAGATTTTACTGATTTTTTACCGTTCATCATGCCATCCAAGGGAACATTTCGCGTGGATGTTGAGTGGACTAATATTCATTTTCTAAGCTTATATCTTAAGAAGGGTTAAAGATATCCACTTCAAAATTTGTCTGAGTAACTTGGTAGCAAATACGCATCATCCCTACTGGCGTGGTACAATAGGGGAAAATGTACTCCTCACTGCATTTAATTAATCTCAATGTAGAAAATGGAAACTCTTTTGGTTATTGAACCGCTAAATAGATTTTACTGAAATTTTCGCAGTAAGTCATGCCAACCCATGTAAGTAAGATAGGCAAGAAAAACTTCGAAAATTCCGCGATGACGAGGAATTATAGCATCAACAGTAATCATACCTTTGAACTAATATTAATTTTCTATGCATATATTTGAATATCTTAAATAAGTCGGCTCATACAAATTTGTATGATACGCAGATAATTACATACTAGTCTTAAGTGGCTAGGAATTAACAAAATTGGTCAAAATTGATAATGTTCGACTCATCATTTTCGGTCCTTTTACGTTATTATCAGTAATGATAAAAAACACCAGTTCAGTAATTCCGCTAACGTCGACTGTTTTTCATCTCTCCATTATCTACATATTGGAATAAAATTTGTGTAAAATGAAAAAATGTTGACATTCTATTTTTTACATTTTGTCAATTTGTTAAAAAAAATAAAATTTTGGATTTTTTAATTTTAAAAATTAAATCACCATTGAAGAAAAAGACTATGAACTCAATATGGGAGATATCCAAAAGAGAAATGCTGATTGTGGAATAAAAGTTATAAAAGTTCGAAATCTGTGGCGGCCTATCATTATAGCTGATATATTTCGAGGATGTATAGAGGAAATAACTAACTCAAATGCCACAGATCCTATCTTCGGACTTGATACTGGTTTCTTAAGAATAACAAAACTATATCTAGGTTCGGTAAAAATATTATGATGTGATAATGCATTATTGTGAATTTTTCTTGGCAATGAAACAATTAAAAATACACAACTCAAACTTAACATGGATCATACGTCAGGTATCTAAGCGATATTAATCGGAGAGAGAAAGGGATCTCAATCATATCATGGGGAAATAGTTGAGAATACAGACATAAACCAGTGAGCGGAGCAGTGTAGTCGGACGGGGCCGACCATACGATACCCTACACAACTTCCATGAAAATCTAACTTTCTGCGGTTCTATATTCAGAGATTGGGCAATATTTCGCGATATTTGCACACTTTTGACTGGCTAGAGGTCAGTCCCTCTAATTACTTGTCCAGATTCCCTTCACCGTGGGTGGTAATCCGAAAAATTATTATCTGATCATCACCTAACATTTTAGGCGTTGTCCTTGACCATAACTGGAACCTCATGGAACATTTTAAAGCGATCAGAGCTATATTTCCGCCCTGCAGTGTGGTAATAGGTTACTAAATACTATATGAATACGTAAGCACCTGTAAATATTTAAGGGTAACTCCCGCATCCAAGTACCTACGACTATATAATTGGCATCAATTTAAAGGTCAACCACTCCTCTTTGATATGCTATCAACTTCTTCTATAGAATACAAATTTTGTCATTTTTCACACAAAAGTTAGGGTCAATTTGACCCGCTAAATATTGACCGATCATTATCAAAACAGGCATTCTTATTCTTTGGCCCGATCCCCTTCTCCATGCAAAAATTCGTGGTGTTTGGGCCATAATTGCGGCCTCTGGAGCGACCAGAAAAACCAACAAAAATAAAGGTTTTGGTCCATTTCATCCCCTAAATATTAACCGATCTTTTCCAAAAACAATAGGGGTCTTCATTGGCCAGAACCCATCCTACATGCAAAATTTCGTGAAGATTGGTCCATAACTGTGGCCTGTATCGTGTTTACAAATTATAATGGACAGACGGACAGACGGACGGACGGACGGACGGACACACATGTCTAGATCGACTCAGCTAGTCGAGATATGATGATCGGTATACTTAAAGGTGGGTCTAGGGCCAATATTTCGCGGTGTTTCAAACTTTTGGGGCTGCAC